GGGGGCGGACGGGCAGTGCTGGAGCGTGCGGGGGTGGGCAGGCGGTGCCGGAGCACATGGGGGTGCTGTCATCCCAGAGTGCCAAAGGGAACTGGGGAGGCACTAGGAATCTGGCTCACCTGCTCTAGAGTCCTCCTGAGTTGGGCATTGAGCTGCTGCAGCTCAGCTTTGTCATGTTCCAGCCTTGCGACAGCTCGCTGCAGACGTTCCAGTCGCTGCTGTAGGAGTCTCCTCTCTGCCCCTGCTGCCAGCTGCTCCTCTTCCTCTCCCATGGCCTGGGGGGTGTAGAGAACAGAGTCTTGGTGAGCCTGTGCCAGATGGATATGTGTCCCAGATGCTCAGAGTGGGGAATCTGTACAAAGCTGGCTAGGGAGGCCTACAGAGAAGCACACTGTGCCTGATGGGGAGCACTCATCAGTCGCTCCCTCTGCTCCCAAAGCATAGGCACCAGCACCCCTCAGGGGCCACCCTCCAGCACAGCCACAGGGCAGAATTAATCCAGGCCAGATACATACTTCTTACTTCTCCTCTCCCATGTGTACACGGGCCCTGCCCACTCTCCCCTCCCTCACCTGCTGTTTCCCTGCTCTCTCCTCTCTAAGCAGCAGATCCGCATCTCCATTCAGAGCCTTGTTTGGAACGCTCTCCTCTAGGTCTCTGAGAGCTGAAGCAAGCTGCTCCTGTAGGAGTGACAAACAGCACAGATCATCCTCTGGAAGCCAGGGCTGCAGTGCCCCCTGCTGGAGAGGGCACTCACTGCTGTTCCCAGTGAGGCAGACATATCTTGCTCGCTGCAGGCCTCTGCCCCAGCTGCCGAGCTGGGTGGTGCCCTGACCATGGAGGAGACCGAGTCCACAGAGGAGCTGGTGGGACTGCCAGTGGCTGAATACCCCAATGAGGCAGAGGACCCCAGGACAACAGAGCCCCAGTCCGAACTGTATTAAGAAGTAGCCCAGGGAAGCCAGAGTTTAGTCTGGTTATTGCTGTCAGTGCTGGCGTCAGCGTGTTTCAGCTGGATCCAGACTGACCCAGTGGCAGAACACGCCGCCACTGTTAGGGCCCTAGGCTGGGACCCGGTGGAGTAGTGTGGGCCCGGGTCCTCCTACCCCCTGCTGCCAACCCCATCCCTGGGGTGGCTGTCTCTCCACTTCAGGCTGAACAGCCTGTGTTTGCCTGTTAGCTCTGCCCTGCCTGAGGGCCAGAGCCGACAGACCGCTGGCTTGCTCTGTCCTGCCTGAGGGCCTAGGCCCCAGACTGTTTGGTGCTCTGCCCTGCCAAGAGGGTCTAGGCGCTACCACCTGATATTAGGCAGTGACCCCAGTGATGTAGTGTGGCCTCCCTCCGACCCAGAGAGGGAGGGATGACTGCCACCATAGTACATGGACTTACTGGCTACCTTGCAGCACAGTTAGTCAGGGAGCAGCCCAGCAAGTGGTCCTAGGTGGTCTGATCCTTGACAGCAGGGCCATGAAGGTCTGTTAGTCCTGAACGTGAAGGGTCATAGCCAGTGAGGTACACCCTTCATCCCAATGGATCTCAGTGCCATTGCTGTGCAGTGGGCCAGCACTGTGTGTATTGCCAGCCACTCATAGCCACCTCCACCACCTCACTCTCTGTGGAGACTGGACATACTTTTTCTGGTACTTCCATTGAGACTGGGCAGCAGCTTGAGGGGGTATGCTACACAGTCCCCTCCAGCCAGCCCCCAGCAAGGAGCAAAGGTGCTGCAACCCTATTGACAGGATTTCCTAGCCCAAGTGATTCCTATTTCATGGACTGGTTTCAGCTCAGATTCTGCTGTCTGCACCAGCTTTTACAAACACATGGGTAAGGTAAGATCCTCCCATCAGCTTGCTGTCCTGGATCTCCTCCACAGTAGAACGGCATCACCTGGCTCCTCTTCGCACTGACCTCAGCCAGCCCCCACCCTAACTGTCTAGATCATGAAGTGAAGACAGAGCCTCTCAGAGCACTGACACTGGCTGCACTGCAGCCACCAGCAAAGGTGTCGGGGGGAGCCAGCACTGAAGCCAGAGTTTTCTGTGCCAGGAGCACCACCTATCAGAGCTCAGCACAAAGAATGCTGCAAGGCACAAGAGCACCTACCCTGAGGAGGAAGAGCGAAAAGGCAGTCCTGAAAGCAGGACTCTCAGAGCACCAGGAGTGACTGGGCCAAGCATATACTGCTACCCAGAATTACCCCACAAATGCAGAAGGGGCGAATCCAGCAATGGAGCTGCCTATGGCAAGGCCATGTTGGGATGCAGCTGCTTCTCTTTTGGCACCTCTTGCCTTATCATTTTAGGCAGAGGTTCTGCCTCATTGCCTCTATATAAATCCATGGTACGCCCACATCTTGAATACTGCGTGCAGATGTGGTCACCCCATCTCAAAAAAGATATATTGGAATTGAAAAAGGTTCAGAAAAGGGCAACAAAAATGATTAGGGGTATGGAACAGCTTCAGTATGAGGAGAGATCAATAAGACTGGGACTTTTCAGCTTGGAAAAGAGACGGCTAAGGGGCGATATGATAGAGGTCTATAAAATCATGACTGGTGTGGAGAAAATAGATAAGGAAGTGTTATTTACTCCTTCTCAAAACACAAGAACTAGGGGTCACCCAATGAAATTAATAGGCAGCAGGTTTAAAACAAACAAAAGGAAGTATTTGTTCACCCAACACACAGTCAACCTGTGGAACTCTTTGCCAGAAGATGTTGTGAAGGCCAAGACTATAACAGGGTTCAAAAAGGAACTAAATAAATGCATGGAGGATAGATCCATCAGTGGCTATTAGCCAGGATGGGTAGGGATGGTGTCCCTAGCCTCTGTTTGACAGAAGCTGGGAATGGGTGACAGGGGATGGATCACTTGATGATTACCTGTTCCGTTCATTCCCTCTGGGGCACCTGGCATAGGCCACTGTGGGAAGACAGGATACCGGGCTAGATGTACCTTTGGTCTGACCTAATATGGTTGCTCTTATGTTCTCATTGAGTGGACTGGAAGTCACTGGAGCACACTGATTGCAAGTATTGAGGCCCCAACTGTGCCCCTGAGAACATCTGAATGCCAGCTGGTGCTGGGTTCACTGTTCTACAACAGCAACTCCTGTCAGACCTGACAAACTCACAATGCTTTCATAGTATTACCAAACAGGGTCATGTCAAGTCCCTAATAAAAGCTTATGTCATACTGATCCTCATAATCTTTGTGAGATATATGTACACATGATATTTAAGGAGTTGTAAAGATGTACAGGAAAATATGTTTTAAAGTCTGAATCAAAGCAGGGTTGACAAGTAGGTTTTCACCAGACACAGGATGTATATTCACCAGTCTGCCTTGGTTCACATGTAAAACAAGCATTGTAAGCCAACATAATGGAAACCTATTTGCATATGACATCAACATCAGGATGTGAAGACAACATGGAGCCAGCACATCAGGGAGGGGGTAAGGAGGTTGTCCTGACTCTGGGGACAAAACAATGAGTTTTGGAGAATATAAGGAGGAGAAGAAAAGACATTTTGTTATCCTTCACTGAGGAAGAAAAAAGGACAATGCTTTTTGCATTCATGAAAAATGATTCCCAACCATCCTGGCTGGACATGTTGGGAGATTGCTTTAGGTGAGATAAAACTACTTTAGACAAGGCCTTAGCCTGTTAAATTTAATCTCTAGGAAGGGCGTTATACTTTTGTTTTATATGTAACCTTACTCACTATCTCTGAAATCTTAGCATGTGATAATAAACTTATGGTTGTTCTCACTATAAATATATCTCAGTTCTGTGATGATATCAAAGACCTGAACCTGAGTTGTACCAGTCAAGTGTTGTGTATACTATTCCTTTGGGGAGAGCAACCCTCATAATTCCTGTCAGTGTCCAGTGACAGGGGCTGGATACTACAGGAGGATGCTTTCCGAGGGGCTCGGAGATTGGGGGTAAACCTACTGTTAACCTGCAAAGCAGAGTGAATGCTAGCAGAGCCTTGAGTATATTGGGTGGTTAGCAAACCGGTGGTGTCAGGGAGCACAGTTAAGCATCAGCAAGTCTCTCTCTCATTAGAGGCAGGAGGATAACAAGGTGACTCAGTCCTGGGCACTCCAAGAAGAGTCACGTGAACTACATCAAAGAGCTGACATTTGGGGTCTCTGGCCTTCATGGTGATGGTGCAGGATGTGTCAGTGGTGAAGCCACCTGACTGGGCTTAGTGAATAGGGCTAGATGAGAGGCCAGAGCTCTCATCTAGTACTGGCATTTAGTGGTTTTGGCTGATCCAAGCTTCTGTTTTGAGGCTTTGTTCTTTAGGAAACTCTGGGCTGCTCTTGTGCCAGACTTAAGTATTTCTTGGAGTACCTCCAGGAGGGTTATGAAATCCTCTCCACATCTTCAGGCTAAAGGCAATATCTGCTCTGAGGCAGATGGAATGGTTCTGCTGCACTGAATCAAAACTGGGGGGCAGAGGATGAACAATGCACCAACTGCTAAAAGTTTATAGTGCTGAGAATACAGAGCAGATGCACATGCACCAGGAGGCCCAGGAAACACAGAGCAATAGGTTCCCTAGCCCAGGAAGGTATGGGTCTATCTAATTGTGACAAAGTAGAAATTTCTCCTAGTGCTTTGGATGAGAATTGTGTGTGCCACAGTTTCCCCTATTTGCTGCATGTGTACCCAGACGGTGGGGGAAGGGTGATTACTCTTTGCAGAGACCCAGAAATCCAGGTGTGACTGTCGCCTAGCTGCCTAGGCCGCATGCCCATGGAGAACCCAGAAGACAATGACCCGGACATCTGGCTGCCTAGCAACTAATGACCATGGACTGCCAACCCACCCCCCCTACCAGTTGTCATGGTACCACAGGCCCAGTGCTCTTTCCCTTGGCTCCGTACGGTTCCTGGGAGGAACCCCCTTTAGTGTGTCAGTCCTCTTCGAGGGTTGCACTCTCTCTGTGGGGCTAAGCCCTTTAAGCCTCCATCGCCTCCTGGGACCACACTTCTGAGCCTTCAGCACGCCTGCCTCACTCCGTGAGGTCCCCTCAGTGAGTCCACTCGCACTGGACCCCTGAAGGGAGACTTGCACACCCAAAGGAAGCAATGCATCCCCAACCTCTTTAGACTGGAGTGACTCTCAGACAGCACTGTAAAACAGAAGATTTATTAAATGTCTGTAATACAGCATAGAAAGCCTTTAGGTGAGCATAGAGAATGGGAAGCTACAGCCAAATCCATCTGAGTCTGACCGGAGCCCAGGGCTCCCTCTCACTGCCCCCAGTTCAGCAGCGTTCCTGCTTCTCGCAGACCACACTTAACTCATTCAACCTGCTCCTTCTCCTTTGTCCCTCTTCCCGGGCAAACAACTCTTGGTTCTCAGTTGGTCCAAAGTGGCTGGTTTCCTCCAGAGGGGAGGGGGCCGGCAGTCCGTGGTTAGTAGCTGCTAGACAACCAGATGTGTGACAGCTAAACCTGCCTGGACATGGCAGAGCTGACCAGCTGAAAGCACCCACACCCGTCACTGTGGAGCTCTGTTTAGTTTTAATAGTGAGGGTGGAAAGATTACCAAGGGACGTAGTGGATTCTCCATCACTTGAAGTGTTTACACTGAAATGGGAGGTCACTTTTTAAAAGTTTCCCTCTAGCTCAGCCAGAATCTACAGGTTCAATGCAGAAAACACTGGATGAGGTTCTCTGGCCTGTGCTATGCAGGAGATCACACTAGATGAGTCAGCAGTGTGCCCTTGTTGCCAAGAAAGCTAACGGCATACTGGGCTATATAAATAGGAGCATTGCCAGCAGATCAAGGGATGTGATCATTCCCCTCTATTCGGCATTGGTGAGGCCTCATCTGGAGTCCAGTGTCCAGTTTTGGGCCCCACACTACAAGAAGGATGTGGAAAAATTTGAAAGAGTCTAGCGGAGGGCAACAAAAATGATTAGGGGGCCGGGGCACATGACTTATGAGGAGAGGCTGAGGGAACTGGGATTACTTAGTCTGCAGAAAAGAAGAATGAGGAGGGATTTGATAGCTGCTTTCAACTACCTGAAGGGGGGGTTCCAAAGAGGATGGATCTAGACTGTTCTTAGTGGTAGCAGATGACAGAACAAGGAGTAATGGTCTCAAGTTGCAGTGGAGGAAGCTGAGGTTGGATATTAGGAAAAACTTTTTCACTAGGAGGGTGGTGAAGCACGGAATGGGTTACCTAGGGAGGTGGTGGAATCTCCTTCCTTAGAGGTCTTTAAGGTCAGGCTTGACAAAGCCCTGGCTGGGATGATTTAGTTGGGGATTGGTCCTGCTTTGAGCAGGGGGTTGGACTAGATGAGCCCCTGAGGTCCCTTCCAACCTTGATATTCCATCTCCGGTGCCACAGCAGGGCTGCTGCTAAGACAGGCTCCCTGCCTGCGCCACCCCCACGCTGCTCCCTCCGCGTACTGCTCCTGCCGGCAAGCACTGCTCCCGCAGCTCCCATTGGCCAGGAACAGGGAGCTGTGGCCAATGGGAGCTGAGGGGGCAGTGCTTGCAAAGAGGGGCAGCGCGTGGAGCCACGTGCTGCCCATCACCCCCAGGGGCCACAGGGGTGTGTTGGCCCCTTCCAGGAGTGGCGTGGGGCCAGGGTAGGCAGGGAGCCTGCCTTAGCGGTAAGTGCAGCCCAGCAGGAGGTCGCACCCCAAACCCCAGCACTGAGCCCCCTCCTAGAGCCAGCACCCCCACCCCCTCCTGCACCCCAACACTCTGCCCCAGACCAGATCCCCCTCGTGCACCCAGGCCCCAGGCTCAGCCCAGAGCCCCCTCCCACACTGCAAACCCCTCGGTTCCAGCCCAGAGCCCGCACCCCCTCCTGAACCCCAACCCTCTACCCCAGCCCAGTGGAAGTGAGTGAGGGTGCGGGAGAGCGAGTGACCGGGGTGGGGGGAGGAATGGAGTGAGTGGGGCAGGGCTTTGGGGGAAGGGGTGGGGCCTTGGGGAAGGGGTGGGGTAGATCCTTGGTTGCCCTTAAATTCAAAAACTGATCTTGGGCGTAAAAAGGTTGTAGCCCACTGGACTAGATGATCATAATGGTTCCTTCTGGACTGAACATCTATGAATCTAAACAAAGTGCCATTGGATTCCTAAGACAGAAATAGACAGGCATCCTTTTCATGCAAGTCACCCCCCAAACTGCCTACCTGAAGATGAAGCCGATCCTTATCCCGCTCTGATACCATGCACTGTAGGACAGCCATTTCCTCCCTCAGGGTCCTACTGGCTGCTTGGCTCTGGGCCAGGGACAAAGCCAAGGCCTGTGCTTTCTCCCTCCATTCTATCTCCACACTCTCAGTCTGCTTCAGAACAGCCATCATGTGCTCCAGTTCCTGATCCTTCACTTTTTTCTCCTCTTCCAGCTGTTGGATCCACACCTTCTGCCTTTCCAACTGCTGGTCTCTCTCCTGGAGAACCTTCCTCTTGGCTGCCTCCTCTGTCTCCCATCTCAGGAGTTTCTGGATTTGGCTCTTTAGAGTCTCCCCTTCACCAGCTCTCCTTTGCAGAGCTGAGGTGAGCTGCTTCAGGAGCTCACCCTGTGTCCTCAGCTCCTGCTCTCGCCCTCTCAGAGTCTCCTCCAGGCCCCTGACTCGCTCTCTCTGGTGTTTGATCTCCTCATCCTTTTTGGCCAGTGTCTGCTGGAGATGCTGGAGATTTTCTTGAAGACCCTTTGCCTCCTCCTCTTCCAATTGTTTTCGCTCATCTTGGGCCTTGATCTCCTGTTCCCTCTTGTTCAGAGCTTCTTCTAGAAGCTGCTCTCTCTCTCTGTGATGTCTCTCCTCCTTCTCAGCCAGTGTAAGCTGGAGATGGTGCAGGGTCTCCTGCTCTTCCTCTCGGTGCTGGAGCTGTTGAATGAGAGTCTCATTCTCCCACTCTCGCTCTCTTACAACTTCCTCTAGACAACTTGCTTGGTTCTGGCAGGACTTTAGTGCCACCTGCATTCTTTTTTCTTGAAGTTGGTATATGCTAATTTGCTCCACCTGCTTGAGGAGTTCTACATGCTTCTCCTTCACTATTTGGCTCATTCTGTCTAGATCCTGCTGTAAGCTCCTGACACACTTTTCTTCCAGCTCTTTCTGCCCTAACAGCTCCTTGACATGCCCTTGTAAAGACTCTATCTCCTGGTCTCTGGCTTGTAGAGATGATTTGGTATATTCAAGTGTCTTCAAGACAGCCTTAGTCTGTGTCACTGCATCTTCCTCATGCTGCTGAAGCTTATGGATTTCTTCCTCAAGGGCCTCTATTTCCCCTTCTCTCTCCCTCAGAGTCACCTGTGTTTGTTGAAGATTTGCTTGCATGACTCTTGCCTGATTCTCCTCCTCTGTCTTGTGCTCCTCATATTGCTTTTGCAGGGATTCGATTTCTTGCTCTCGCTCCCTTAATATTGCTTCAAGACAGTCAAGAGTTTTCACCTGTTGCTCAACTTCTCTTTCTTGTTTTTGGAGTGTCCAGATCTGCTCTTTCTGAGACTTAATCACTCCATCTCTCTCCTTTAGTGCTTCCTTGGCATATTCTAAATCTCTCTGTAAAACCTTCATCTGCCCTTCTGCTTCTTCCTCATATTTCTGTATTTGCTGCATTTGGAATTCCAGCTCTCTGTCTTTGTCTTTTAAGGCTGCTTGTGTTTGCTCCAGATGTTCACAAAGAGGCTTTAGCTTCATTTCCATCTCTTCCTTAATATTCTGAATTTGCTTTTGTTGTGACTCAAGCTCTTGATCTCTCTGAGTCAGAGTGAGGGTCATCTGTTTTACTTTCTCCCGCAGGTCCTGTAGCTCTTCCTCCCGCTGATCCTCATACTGCTGGAAAATCCTTATCTGCTCCTGCTGCGATTCGATCTCATGCTCTTTGTCCCCGAGAATTGCTTTCATGTGTTCTAGGCTTGTGCGCAGAACCTTCACCTGCTTTTTCTCCTCCTCTTTCAATTCTTCAGCTACTTTTCTCTGAGACATAAGCTCACAATCTTTTTCCCTCAAGTCTGCTTTGATCAGATAGCGCTCCTCCAGCAGAGCTTTCATTTGTGATCTTCCATGTTCTTCCAGAGTCTGGATTTTCTCTTCCTGGAATTTAATTTCCTTTACTTTCTCCTCTAGGTTTAAAGTCAGTTGTTCTAGAGCAGTCTTCTGCATTTCCCTCTGATTCTCTAGTTCCTGAATCTGTTCTTGTTGGGATTCCACCTCTCTGTCCTTCTCCTCTAGGTCTTTAGTAAGGTGATCTAAAGCTGTTCTTTGCACTTCTCTCTGGTGCTCCAGCTCGCTAATCTGTTCTTGCAGTGTTTCCATTTCTCCATCTCTCTGGCTTAAGGCAAGAGTCAGGTGATCCAGATTTTCCTGCAAAGCCTTCCCCAAGGCAGCCTCCTTCTGCAATGTTTGGATTCCCTCCTGTTGAGTCTCTGCTTCCTCACTTTTCATTTTCAGGGCAGAGAGGGTTGTTTGAAGCTCTTGTTCTAGGGAGCGGCTCATCTTTGCTGCTATGTTTGCCCGAGTCTCAGAGGCAGAGACTGATTCCTGGAGAAGGTCCATCTCCCGTACCAGTTTCTCCTTAGCTGCTTGCAGCATGTCCCGTTCATGCTGAAACAGAAAGAAAATGACTTGAAAATAAATCTCGATGTCTCTTCCCATCTCAGAACTGGGCTGTAGCTCTACTGCCTGGATGATGTGACACCCAAGTTCTACAAGTGTGGCTCTTAGTGGAATAACTCTTACAGTTGGGGTGGCTTTTCTCTCCCATCTAATTTTTCTTATTCTTTGGTCACTCGTGGAAACTCGAGAATTGCCCTTTCTCCCCTAGGACTTGTCTACACAAGGATATAGCACTGTTTCAGCAGCTGATTTAGTTGAGCTGATGATACCTGTGGTGTAGCTGTACATGCAGACATGGGCAAGCGGTAATCACCATTGATTCAGCCAAAATCATTAATGAAACAGCACTATTTTGGAGTGTAGATCATGCCTTTGAGTGACTTCTGGTTGTAGCTCCTGAAGGGTGGGTGAAGTTACTCTCTCAGCAGAGATAATTAGGAATGGGAAAAAAAATCCCTGAATCATAATTCAAACATACATGAATCTAGCAACTTCATGTTTTTATTCATATGACTATTGTGACATTCTATACCATGGGAGTGTGCCCTGTAACCCCCATATTCCTCATTTATATATAATTGTGCTCTTACATATAAAGCATGCCACGTGAGGTCTCATGGGAAAGGTTATGATCTGCTGAAACCCACTGTTCCATCTAAATATGTGTATCATTAATGCATATGAGGTTATGACAATGTGCTGCATGGTTGTCACTAAAATATGCTGTGAGTTTGGCAAGCGCCCAGATACTAGCTCTCCAGAGACAATGCCAAGGAAAGCAAGCAATGCCCGGTTGGGTGTCAAACAACCCATCAACAGCCATTGTTTAGCAAGGGAGCTACAATTCAATGACTCACCTGCATAAGGCCACACCAGGGGAATTGCTCAACCTTGCCTGGGGTCTCAGAAATGCTCACCAGACATGCCTGGACTTGTGCTCTCCAAGCACCTGAGACTAAGAGTATAAAACAGAACACAGTGGCCTCATACATGGCCTTTCTCCTTCCCCCACCTATACTGCAAGCAACAAGGACATTCTGAAGACTCCAATAGAGGGGACTGGCCTAGGTTTCAAGGGTGAAACCTGTGTACTATGAATTGCAATATCCAGTGAGGGTGAGACAAACTGCTTAATCTAGATGTTGCCCAGTCTAATAGGGTTGAGAGTTTAGACTGCGTGCTTATATTTTATTTTATTTTGGTAACCACTCTGACTTTTTGCCGATCACTTATAATCACTTAAAATCTATCTTTTGTAGTCAATAAATGTATTTAACTGTTTATCTTTACCAGTGAGTTTGCCTGAAGTGTCTGGTGAATCTGCTCAGGTATGCAAAGGCTAGTGTATATCCACTTGCCTTTGATGAAGTGGTGAATGAATTAATACATTTGCACTGCTCAAGACGAGCAGCGCAAGGTGGTATGTTCCTGTTGTACAAGGCTGGGAGCTGGGGGGGATTCAGCTGGTGCCTTTCTCTGTGTGATTCATGAGTGGCTCTGGGAGCATTCATGCAATCTAGCCGGGTGTGGTGCTCCGCATGCGGTTATCCTGAGTGATAACAGCGCCTGGAGGGGTTTGCTGCTTGTCACTAGCAAAGCATTGTGAGAGACAGCTCAGGCTGGAGAGTTAAGAGGGCACAGCGGTCCAATGGTCCCAGGCTGCACCCCAGGGATCCCATCACAACTATTACAAAAGTTAACCTGAAAAATTGTATTGTAATTGTAATTGTATTGAAAAACTACTGTAAGTATGTCTGGCTAATTCCATTCCCCTCCAGCTATCCTCATTGACCCCTTTCCTCTTCCTCCTGCCTACTGTGCTGTGTTCATCTCCTTGCTAAGATAAACAGTCCCATGCCTTTCAACTTCTCTTCATATGGAAGTTTATCCAGGTCTCTAATCATTCTCATCATGTGTCCTGAATCAAGCACCTCCATTACTGCAACACTCTGAGATGGGATGACCAGAACTGCACACCGTGTTACAGGTGAGGGCATTCCATTAATTTAGAGAATGGCATTACAATTATTTTTAAAATTCTCTTTGCATTTATCAGCATGGAATTTCATTTGTCATCATGCTGCTTATCTGTGTAACTTAGTTAGGTCCTTCTGAAGTTAGTCTTCTCCAGCCTTGACTAGTCTTAACACAAAATTATTATCTGAAAATTTTGCTTCCTCAATACATACACACCTTTTCCAGATAACTAATATATTAAACAACACTGGTCCTAGCACAGAGCCCTGGGGCAGCCAGCTGTTAACCTTTTTTCAACTATGAAAGTGAACCAAGCATTCCTTCTCTTTGTTTTCTGTCTTTTAGGCCCCAACTCTGCAAATACTTATGCATGTGCTTAACTTCACTGCTGTGAGTAGTTCCAATGATCTCAGGAAGACTACTCACAGTAGTAAAGCAAAGCATATGTGGAAGTCTTTGCAGAGTCAGTACCTTAACCAATTTCTGATCCATAACAATACTTTGCCTCTCATACCATGACTATTCCATTTCCTTTACAACCCCTTCTGAGGGACATTGTCAAAGACTTTGAAAGTCCAATAAATTACATCAACCAGTTCTCCTTTACCCATTACTTTAATGACAGAATTCTAATAGATTAATGAGGCACAGTTTTCCTTGGCAGAAGCTGTGCTGTTTAAACACTATGATAGGCTCTTTTAGATGTTTTATAAAACTTACCAGGTACGGAAGTACCTAAATCTAAATTTAGCTTCCTGAGCTCCCAGTGTCGCTGGTACTAGTATGTACCATGGCCACAGCCTGCTCCCCAGAACTCACTGGAAGTCTGTCCAGATGTCGCATAATATCAGCCACCTTCACACACACACCAAAGGGTTCTCACGCTCACCAGATGCCTGCCCAGCTATTGATATTCACAGTGAACAAACCCTGCCTGTGTCTCCAACTGTAATCCCCTTTCCTTAGAGCAGTCTCCTCAGTGTGTGAAGATTATCAGTGGCTCATGAAAATCCCAAGCCTGGAACAGCAGGGGTGTGAGTGGATAGAAGTGAAATGCATTGGCAGAACTCTAGGGGTGGAACTCAGACTAGAATAGTGAGGATACTGTGGATCAGCAGCCAGGTGGCTCAGTAGCACTGCATGGGAAGCCTAGGACTGGATAGTGGGGCATGACAGAGGGGCTGCAGGAGGGATAGGGGAAACTTGCTCAATGTCTGCACACTCTGTCTGGTTATACATGCTTCTAACCTTGAGGGGAGCACCAGAAATTAGAAAATAGACCTGGGAGATGGCACTGTGCAGGGGTTTTCCATTCAGTGGCTCTGGGGCCAGGGCAGGGTTGTTCCCAAGAATGCAGTGTTAAAAGAGCTCTGTCCAGGCTTTCCTTGAATGGCCATTATGTAACAAAGCTTCAGGGCCATCTGCCAGCCTCACCACAACATCTCTTCTTTGCTTCTCGGTGCCCTCAAGGCTCCTCTCCAAGGATGCAACCTCCCCATGCAATGTCACAACCTCCTTCTTTAGGGCAATGACCTCTTCTTGCAGCATGGCCTGGAGTGAGCCCTGCTTCCCTTCTACCATCCGCATCTCTGCAATGGGGAAGGGGGAGAAGAGGAACCAAAACAAAACCAAACAATGCTGGGCAAGAGCCATAATCTTTCCATTCAACTGCCCTTTGCTTCCCAGGCTCCAGCCCACAAAGGGGAGATTGGGTTATGCTCAGAGAAGTATCTTGGTCTGAGGTATTTGGCTTAAGGAAGTTCAGGTGAAACCAGAGTTCACAGGCAGAGGGAGTGAAGAAGGAGCAGTCAATAAGATTAGATTAACAGACTGGTGCAGTGAGCATCTTCAGTATAGTAGTGAGAGCAGAGGTGGATAAGATTACAAAAGGAAAATATATAGGAAGGAAAAGGATGAATACCAACTGACGTAGGGCTCCATCCAAGGACAAGTCTGGGTGCAGAGGAGCTGGTACCACAAAGGAGGGAGCAATAAGGTTGCAAAAGGATGTTGCAGAATTAGAAAGAATCCCAAGACGGGCAATAAGGGGCTCTGCCATAGAGATAGACTGAAAAGACTCGGACTGTTCAACTAGGCCTAGGGGACATGATAGAAGCCTATAAAATACTGACTGGTCTAGGGCAGGAGGATAGGGAGTTTATGTTCCACTACACAGGAACAGGGGACAATCCACTACATTGAAAGGCAGACAATTCCAAGTGTTTGGTGGGTACGAGTGGTGCCATGACAGACGAGAAGCCAAGATGCCCGCATAGTTGTGGTATGGAGGGGTTCACAGTACTGGAGGCCGTGGGAAGCGAGGAAGAGTGAGAGAGACAGGACAATTAGCTACATGGGGAGTAGTTACTGTGCTATAGCTTAGGGCAAGACCCAGAGTGAGATCTGTTCGAGGGGCTGCTGTTGTATGTGAAAAGTGACTGGGGAGATGAGAGACAGTGTCTCCATCAAGCATTTTGCTGAGGGTGGGAGGTTCAGCAGCAGCCTGTGCTCAGACTGTATCAGGGCTAGGAAGGGGAGGGTTGAGAAGGAAGCAGAAGAAGCAGATTGTAGAAAACTGGGGAAGGTAGCAGAGGCACATGATTTATTGACAACTGCAATAACGCAAGGATCCTGGGGGAGGAGACAGAGCTAATGCACTGGAAAACGGAGGAGAAGCCTCCGTTACTCAGGAATGCCCCAGGTTAGCACAGGGCAGGAGGAGAGAAGATAGGACTCTTCAAGTACTGCAAGGAGCACAGCAGGGAACCAGGGCTGTCTCTCTGCAATGAGTCACAGTCTATTCAGAAGCGCCAGTCTGTGTGGGCTCTCACAGTGGCTCTTCCTCTCCCCCAACTGCCATCTTCACTCCCTTGCTGATAAAGCAGAGTGGGCCTGGTACAGTGGGAAGGAGGGGAGCCATACCTTCCTGGCTTTGAGACAACCACTTCTGCAGCTCTTGGGTGTGGGCTCTGAGACAGTCCCTCTCGGCCTCCTTTTTGCTCAGCTCCTGCTCCAGCTTCTGAGCCTTGTTCCTGGCATCATCCTGGAGAAAGCAGGAGAGGCTGTATGAAGCTACACACACACGGTGCCAGGACAGCAGAGAGAGGGAAGCCTAGGGCATAGACTCAGACAGGGCAGGGCCATTACCAACAGGGGCAGTAGTAGTAAGTGGGATCCCTACAGAGGGGGTATTCCCCTCTCCCCATGATGGAGCAGGTCTAGGCTGCACTGGCACAGGGAACTAGAGCCAGCTCGGCCACACCACCTTATTTTGCTGCTAAGCTCAGCAGAGGGGCAGGGGAAGTGAGTGCACTGAGGAGAGCCGTTACCCGATCTCGCAGAGTCTGCCTCAGGTCCTGGTGCAGGTTCCGGAAGGCTGTTGCCACTTTCTCTGCTGTGAGCTCTATGTGGAGGTCCTTAGGTTGAGGCCCAGTAAGCCCACAAACACGGTCCTGTTCTGGAAAAATAAGCCCTGGGATTAGTGTTTGGCCAAAGGGTCGCCAGTGACAGAGACCTGCTTACACGTAGGAGAAGCTGGCAGGGTTTGGAGACCTCCAAGGGGCAGGTCCCATAGATGTGACAGTGAATAGGTGACACACTGCACATTACCTTGACTGCCCATTAGTGCCACATCAGATGTGGCATTCTCCAATGGCTACTGGGGCTGTATTTCACCCTGGGGCTGAGGTCGCTTCCCCATTCACAAACACTGCCTTAGTTCTCTCTGCAGTGAGCTTTTTGGGGCATAGGCCTGCCCTCCGTACCCCTCCTGGCTTTAGAAACAAAGGCTGCCCACGCTTGCCAACAGCCCCATGTTTCTGTTCTGTGTCTCACATCCCTGTTTGTTCCAGCAAATGAGGCTGAAATATGGTCCAGCCGCCGATCTCTTATAGACACTAGATGCTATTGCCAGGCGTGCATCCAGCCCTGCTGGCTTTCCCTTCACACAGGAGTGCTCTGCAGCACTAAGCCAGGAGAGCCAGTCTCCTCCCACACCACCTGCCCTCAGCAGCAGCTCCTCTCAGGAGGCAGTAACATGCAGAGGGAGAGGGGATGTCAGAGACCCCTCTTGGAGGCACTGGCAAGGGAGGGAGGAATGGCCCCTTGAGAAAAACGGGGGAGGGGAGTAAAGCACACAATGCAATTTCATCAGCTCTGAGAAACACTGGCACATCCCCAAACAGCCCTGCCCCCTGCCCACCTGGGTTTCTCCCACCCAGGCTTGGTATCTGTTTTTGATACGTTGACAGGGAGGTTGCAATGAAATATCCTTACAAAATACATGCAATATTTTCTGGAGGCTTCTTGGAGCAATGTCCCAGGGGACATTTCTAAGTATTGGCAACTGGGCCATGTGGGACTCCATGCAATCAGCAGCACAGGTGGGCTGGTGATCGGCCCTGGGCTCTCTGGCTTGTAGTGCTTCCTGCATCTTGCACGGCATCCCGTAAGATGTATAACCCATCATCCATGGCGCCTGCTATTGAGGTCAGCCATGCAGATCTGGAGTCCCTGGAAGCCTCTGACCAGCCCTAAGGCCAACCTAATCAGCAGTTCCAGAAGAAGTGGAAGAACACTCCTTCTGGGGGCCAGAGATTGCTAGAACATGTTACACTTTTCAAATGGAATATGCTGTCCGTTCGCCCAGAATGGAGGGCCAAGAATTGCTGTGTCAGAGACTGAGGAATTCTCTTGGGCCAAGAGCCAGAGTAAAGGGTTCCCCACTGTTCCTAGCCTTCCCCAACCAGAGCAAGGCCACTGGGAAGCAATATGGGCCAGGAAATCAGGACTAGGAAGGGAACCCCAGCTCTCCTACACTAGGCTGTAAAGCCTTCTCAGCCTAGGGACAGATCCACATGGCCTTCTGGGGGTAAGCCTCGAGCACACTGCCACAGACACTAGCCACACTCACCTGCACTCCATGTGACAAGGTCTCCACTTGCCAGAGTGCTGCCACACAGTGTGTGCTGCAGAACCGTGTGCAGCCTGGCCAGCTGGGACTCTGCTTCACTGCGGGCACTGCTGGTGAGGTGGCACTCCACAGCCAGTGCCTCTGCCCGGCTCTCGGTGCTGCAAAGGCTAAGGCGCAGCTGAGACACCTCTGCCTCTAGTGTCCGCAGCAAATCCCTCAAATGCCGCTCACCCGCCCGTGACTCCTCCAGATCCTGTGACAGCTGCTTCTCATTGGCCACTAAACCAGCCTCTTTCTCTAGCACTGCCTGCCTGAGTGAGTGGACCTGCAGAGAAGAGAAACACAGGCCCTCGGGGGCTCAGCATGACTATTGCGAGGGCAGGGAGGAGGAGAGAGTCCGACGGAGGAAGCTGCTTTCGGGCAGACACCTTCCTACAGCCAAAGGCACAAAACTGAGGCGGTGCAGAGGTCAGATTGGAAATAAGCTCCGGGACCTTCAGGGACCAAGAGCTCCCCACCCGCAGGGAAACACAGATTATTGCTCCCTGCCCCACCATGCCCTCACCCTCAGAAAGAAACCAGAAGAAAAACACGGGGTGAAAGAGGCTCCTGAGCAGGAGCCAGTTATGCCATAGTGGAGGTGAACTACCCGACAAAAACATGGAGGCAGGAACAGCGAGATGGTCAGTCCCTCACGTTGTGTGTCTGGGACCTCCCACCTTCCCAGCTCTGAGCTCCCTTCCTCCTCCCCGTAGCAGAGAGAGAAGTTAGTGCTTTGCAGTGCTAGGCACAGCCACCTGGAGCCAACAACTGCGAAAGAGGCTTTGAGATGCTCCACAGGAGTCTGCTGTTCTCTCTGGGGCTCAGGGTCTGCAATCAGGGGGTTAAGACGTAGGGAGGGCAGAGCCAGAGCCAGGCTTCGGCACCATAGCTCCAAGGCTGTGAGCAGGTGAGGGGAGAGGAGGCAGTGTTACAGGAGTGGAAGCAGTGGAGGAGGGGACAGGGACCAGAATACAGTGGCTGGGGAGGGTGGGGCTGGTCCTGGGCAAGGCTGATGTGCTGCTGGGGAAGGGAATGCTGGTGTGCAGGGCACCTGTGTGTTGAGCTCCTGTATCTCTCTTCTGTGGTCAGAATGGAGCTGCTGAGCTTGGCAAATGGCTGCCTGCAGGCTGATGATCTCACTCAGCTGGGCATCGTCTCTCTCCTGGAAGGTCCTGAGTCTCAGCTCCTTCCCCTCCAGGGCCAGAGCCAGGCTGAAAGAGAGAAGGGACTTAATAATCCTGGCAAGAACAACAAGGAGTCCGGTGGCACCTTAAAGACTAACAGATTTATTTGGGCATAAGCTTTCGTGGGTAAAAAACCCACTTCTTCAGATGCATGGAGTGAAAGTTACCTGGCGGCTCAGTGCCTGGAGTGGGGGAGGGGTGACGCTCTGATGGCAATGTGATGGGGGGGGCTCTGTAATCCTGGCGGCTCAGTGCCTGGAATGGGGGAGGGGTGACGCTCTGATGGCAATGTGATGGGGGGGCAGCTCTGTAATCCTGGCGGCTCTGTGACAAAGGCGGGGAGACTCTCTCTAAGCCTGGCAGCACCACAACAGGGGGGTTTCGTAAACCCAGTGGTGCCGCGATGGGAGGGACAGAGGAGGGATCTCCGTAAACCCGGGGCTCTTTGCCACGTGGTTTAATATTTAACAAGCCCTCGTGAGTCAAATCTGGCAGGAGAGAAGGCCGGGCCCTTTCCTAATCCCGCAGACACTCTGCTCATTCAGTCCCATGCTAGCACTACAGTCTTGTCCCCGTATGAGCAGTCCCAACGTATCTGCTGTTTTTAAAGGGGGAGAGACGATCTCATAAGAATGGCCACACTGGCTCATACCAATGGTCCATCTTGTCCAGCAACCTGTCTTTTGACGGGGCCAGTGCCAGCTGCTTCAGAGGGAATGAACAGAACAAGAGAAATTATCAGGAGAGCCATCCCTGTCAGCCAGTCCCAGCTTCTGGCACTCACAGGTTTATGAACATCCAGAGCATAGGGTTGAGTCCCTGATCATCTTGGCTAGTAGCCATTGATGGACCTATTCTCCAGGAATTTATCTCGTTCTTTTTTTAACCCAGTTATACTTCAGGCCTTCACAACATCTGCTGGCAACAAGTTCCGCAGGTTGACTGTGGTATGTGAAGTACTTCCTTTCGTTTGCTTTAAACCTGCTGCCTATTAATTTCATCAGGTGCCTCCTGGTTCGTGTGTTATGTGAAAACGTAAACAACACTTCCCTATTCACTTTCTCCATGCCATTCATGATGTTCTAGATCAGTGGTGCTCAAACTTGTGTACTGGTGACCCCTTTCACACAGCAAGCCTCTGAGTGCGACTCCCCCATTATAAATTAAAAACACTTTTTAATATATTTATCACTATTATAAATATTGGAGGCTAAGCTGGGTTTGGGGTGGAGGCTGAGAAGCTCGCGACCCCTCATGTAATAACCTCGCAACCCCCGAGGATGTTCCATACAAGGCATTCAGACATTTGAAATGTCATTAAGGGCAACCAGCTGGGTAAAGGAATTGGCTAATCATGCTGAACTGTGAGAAATCCAGCAGTCTCCAGGAGGCAAACCTGGGCAAAGCCACTACAGCTGCAGCTATGTCCCTAGGGAGTGCCTTTGCTGACTGCTGTCAGAAGGAAACTGATAGGCTACTGCACAGTGCACTCCAGGCACCCCAGTGGGAGAACGTAAGAGCAGGCCCCTAATTGCGCCAACACCTCAGAACTTTGGGAGATGCTCCTAGATTAGCTTGCATGTGCACAGACCTGAAAGCAGGAATCAGTTAAGATTGAAAACAAAATATCTAGCCCACATCACACTTGATTTCTGCCTACCTGGCTCTTTCACCCTCCAGGGCTCTGAGTCTGGCCTGGAGCTCCGTGTTCTGACGCTCCGCCACCTCCTGTCGGCTCCTCTCCCCCTCCAGGGCTCCGAGCGTGGCCCGGAGCTCTGTGTTCTGACGCTCCGCCTCCTCCCATCGGCTCCTCTCCTCCTCCAGGACTCCTAGTGTGGCCTGGAGCTCTGTGTTCTGACGCTCCGCCTCCTCCCGTCGGCTCCTCTCCCCCTCCAGGGCTCCGAGCGTGGCCCGGAGCTCTGTGTTCTGACGCTCCGCCTCCTCCCGTCGGCTCCGCTCCCCCTCCAGGGCTCCGAGCGTGGCCCGGAGCTCTGTGTTCTGACGCTCCGCCGCCTCCCGTCGGCTCCTCTCCTCCTCCATGGCTCCAAGCGTGGCCCGGAGCTCTGTGTTCTGACGCTCCGCCTCCTCCCATCGGCTCCTCTCCCCCTCCAAGGCTCTGAGCATGGCCCGGAGCTCTGTGTTCTGACACTCCGCCTCTTCCCATCGGCTCCTCTCCCCCTCCAGGGCTCTCAGCGTGGCCTGGAGCTCTGTGTTCTGACTCTCCGCCTCCTCCCGTCGGCTCCTTTCCCCCTCCAGGGCTCTGAGCGTGGCCCGGAGCTCTGTGTTCTGACGCTCCGCCTCCTCCCATC